GAGATATCAAATGTCTTCTTCTTCGTGTCCGTATATGGCCGCGATCACGCTCGAAGGAAGGCTTCGCGATAATCCAACGAAAAAAATCGTGGGTAGCGCTTTTGAGAAACATAAATGTCCATGCTAGCTGACCCCTCATGATGAAAAATGGAGGAGAATCGTCAAGAAGGCTGAAGCCCTTCCTAAGCCGCGCGAAAGACAAACAATCAGTGTGGATATCGGGAAAGAGGTCAGAGAAAACAGCGCATGCAAACGAAGGAGAGCGTAAATAAGACACCTATTAACTTGTAGCTGTTTGTTGCAGTTCACACTACCTGTCCAGGAGAAGAGCTCACTCAGCCAAATGTAGGTAACCAGTCGGCCGTATAGCACGAAAACATTTTTCAAAAAATTTCCATATTTTACCGTTTCATTCACAATTTGTTCCCCCCACCTCCCTAACTTTTTCATATGCTAGCTGTCGCGCTGATTAAACAGAACTTGGTGTGTTTGGAAGTTGTAGCCGTAGAGCGAGTATTTTCGTGCTGCTACTTCCAGTTGTTCAGCGTAGGTACGCACAACTTGTATTAGTATCAGAACAAAGCCGGGTGTATTTAGGGGAAAGTAATAGCTCGCCAACTTGTAGAGGAGGTATTAGTTTTGACTAAAGCTTCCAGTGCAGTTACGTATGCTAATGCTAATACGAAGTTCTGATTCAAACCACGTTCACAGCCGGTGTGCCTCCCCATCCGTCCACCTATTCATTCTCTGCCGTTTCCCACATTTTCCGCTCTCCGGGCCGTTTTGGAACCAACTACGAATTTTTAAGGTTTCTTGTCAAGCACCGCCCCCTTACAGCACGCCCAGCCCATAATGGGGAAATCTTCCTCATTTCGTCCGCCAATTGATTGCCTATTGGTCTGCTACATTTTCCGCTCTTGAGGCTTTTTTGGAACCGAACTACGAATTTTTGAAATATGTAGCTCACAACTGTGCGCACGCCCCGCCCACAGTGGGCGGGGCTTAGCTTAGTTCATGTGTGTTCCGTACATCTTGGCCCATGCCCTACCCAACCCACCCTTGACCCGCCCCCTCCAACTGGCTCTTCAGGTGATTCCGAATTTCCGGACAGACAGACAGACAGACAGACAAACAGCAGTAGGATCGTAAGCTCTACCTCCAATTGACAGAACTAGCGCTGTACAGGAACGAGTGAAAAAAGAAAACTAGAAAATCGTAAATAGTTCGTATGAGTTTGGACCGTGATAGATAGCGAACCTCTTAAAAATGGATTCAAGCTGTGTTCTTGAGTTGTGGAAGATTAGCTGCTGGGTAGGAATAATAAAAACAAAAGAATAACTACGAAACACTAACTAACTAGCATGAATAATAATTAGAAACCAAAAAAAAATTTTAAGAACTGATCATATAAACACCACTAAAGTAATAGCCTCAAATTTGCAGCCCGTCAGAATATGCGATCTAAGGCAGTTCACGCAATAAAATTATGAGCAAAGTGACAATAAACCGTTAACTCATCATGTGTGGCATAAGGAAGCAGTAATAATAGTTTAAAAGATTAGGGTTGAATATCGGCTGGAAACAGCTGATTGCGCGGTGCAGCCGTCGATGCGGGCAGTGTCCAGAGAAAGAGAGGCGCGGCCTTAAGCATAGAGGAGCGCAGAGAGCACGAGACTGTGGTGCCTGCTATCCCGCCACGGCACGAAATCCAACGAGATTACAGCCACGACGTGCGTCAGTTAATGAACGTCCGGCAATTTCCGCCATACCTTCGGTCTGCGGCGATCGCGACTGTAATAGTGCCCCATCACAAGTCCAAAATAGTGGCACCAAAAGTGCATGTCATATTCGCATTCAATGTTTCGAATGTGCATGAAAATAAAGCTTGATCAGGAAAATTATTTGTAAATTGGAGGTTGTAGCAGCAAAATAGTCGGTAAATATTTGTACTGATTCAATAGCCAGATTCGAAGAAAAAGTGCACACCTTAAGTAACTGCGAGTGAAGTTTTCGTGTGTTATCACACATAGGTGCAGATTTGAGCGTTGAGATGGTGAGCCTTCTGAGAATAAGAATGGCAACATATGTAGGAAGCACCGGCACATTGACGTAAAATAGTCCCACAATTATTTCCCATTTACGGTAGTCCGGGAAACTATTGATATATTCGGATTGCACTTCGAGTCTGTTAGTTCTAAAAAATGAGAAGAACACCTGAAAGCAGCAAATTTAAGGCTCTCGTTAACGAGAAAAATTAGTTTTGAGAACATTTATCCAGTTTTAAGGCGGGCTTACACAGTGATAGGTAAAGTCTTTCAAAACGCACCGCACTTTAGCCACCTAGTTCGGGGGAGTTCCATAAAATCGCAGACAAGAGGACAACTAACGGCCAATTAACAAGTGCGTTTTATTGAAAACGTTATATTGAACTCACAAAGTAGGCAAAAGATGGTGAGTATATCAAAGCAATAGTAACTAATATGGTGCGTTTTCTCGGCTGATTATGTCGCAAGATATAGTATCGGTAAGCAAATGAATACAGCATGCTCCATAATCCATGAACAAAGCAGTGTAATAAGAAATTATAACTGGAAAGGACTGTTAGTAACTTGAATCTCAGAAAACTCTATGGAAAGATACGTTCACGAATGTGCCAATTCTGAACACTCACGCAGCACTGCAGGTATGCGACCCGTAGGATAAGCACGGTCCACGATACTGGTGGTACCTAGTGACGCCGTCTGACACAAATCTGAAGTTAATATGGTTTCGACGGGAATGTTCCATTGTGATCCCGTAGATCTTACAATCTCTGTTTGAAATGGCTACATCTTGGGCTTTTTTTTACATGAAATCAAGAGCTTCTGCCCATTTGCTGTTCGCATAATGGCGTGGTTGATAATGTGTCACTATCGTCAAGGAGCAATGGAGCATTTCGTGAATTTGAGCAGTATGACGAGGTCTATCCGTCGCACTGCCGCCGGCATTGTGTTAGTGTCACTGATCAAAAACATCATTTGTCGCAAATCGAATCTCTCGTTTCCTCCACAAACTGCGCTAAATAGTGTATATCCAGTTTCTATAAATTTTTTTCTAGTTTGCGCGTGATCAGTATCTATGTTCGAGGCGGCTGGGATAGAATTATGGATCGCCAGCACTCGATGTGAAATGTATAGCATCTCGAAGGTGCGCCCTCTCAGTGGGATGGAAGGCACACATACCTGTAATGCACGAAAAGGGCGGCGATACAGGCGAGTAAGTCAATGATAGCAATATTAAGAATAAGCACAGAATAGTTGACAAGTTCCTGTGGAGTGTTCGTCAGGACAAGATAAATTAAGAGTGAGTTGGCAGCAATCCCAAGCGTGCCTGTAGTTATAGATGTCATGATGCTGGTTAAAGGGACCCAGCTCATACCCTGAAAAAAATGCAGCAATAGTAATGCATATGCTGAGAAATAACCTCCGATATGCGATTCTGACAGCGTGTAGTGGACCCCAGGATGGGCAAGTTTGCTTCTCAATAACACTGCCAAACACTACTGATGAGAAACACAGTGAATTTCTGACTGTTTTCAACACAGGAAATTGAATTCGTGACCTGTTTGAAGGCAGCGCCCGTCATAAACCAAAGTGATGATGAAACCCTGCACTCTACAAGACCGCGGAGTCCGCAACCACAGAAGATATCGTACTCCTGCGACTCGGAAGCGCTTGATAAACGAAGGCGGAGTCAATAGTGTTAATCTGAGTTCGCCTCGCGTGTTAGTCCCTCCTCAATTATTTTTTTGTTATCAGTCCTCGCTGGTATTGATAATCGCTGAACTTCTAGCGCTCGTTTCGTACACTGATAGATAGATTAGATTAATTGAGTTAGGGTAGACAGATTGAATAAGTAGATTAAATAGATTAACTTCAAAACAACCTAGGTAATGGCCTCATTAGAATCAGCAACGAGGCAGCGATGGGTTTTGGAGAACTCAAAATCTGCGTCCAAAAGCGTCCGATCGAATAGGGTCTTATTCTATACTCTTGCAGCGTTTTTTTTTACTTTTTTTGTTAGTGGTTTACTTGCCACATGTTCTGGCAGTTCTGAGTCCTACAACCTGCCAAAGTCGATCGCGTGTGCTGTCTTTGAGTGGTGGATTGTCGAAGGAGCGAGGTGTAAATGAGGGCTGGTGAATAGATGTGAATATATGTCAGAATGCGAGAAATGGAGTCTAGTTGATGAGGAAGCAAATAAACAGTGTGCTACTCACTGAGCGGCTTACGCGAGTCATTGCAGAAGCCAAATGAGCTTTGCTGCTTCTGAGATACTGTATGGAAGTCGAGTCGTAACTGCCTTCTTGGACACCTGAATGAAGGTTTTTAGTCTACCGCGCTTTCCGGTAAACAGTGTAGGTCAATATTATTTGATTATTTCACACCATTGTCTTCCCAGGATCTATAAAGGGTTGGTGCGTATACGAAATTCTCAGTTTCTTGGCAACTACTATAACTGATTAATTAACAACGTCAATTAATAATTAATAATGAAAGCAATACAAAACAGTATACAATGACTGAGTCATGGTATATTTTCGTTGAATTGGATCAACTCATTAGTTTCCGGAGCCAGACCTTCTGGTTTAATGAGAGTCTATTCTTAATGGAAGGAGCCGACATTTTGGTCGTGAGACCGCTCGTTTACGCGCCATTGCTGATGGATGCCCTTTCTGGATGGATTTCCCAGTAACGTGGCCTTGTCGTTGCCACGGAATCAACAGCAAAACCTTCATGTCGTCGATCACGCGGGTTCTATCCCCTTATATGAGGTTAGCATTCCAACCGGAACTCTAAACACGATTGGCCCGAAGTCTCCCGCTACTGTCGGTTGTGATCTCTGTTCTTGAAAGGGACAGTGCTTCACTTCTTATTAGCTATGTGAAATTAGGGTGTTGTCGAAGACCTTGTAGTGGTTTGGCATTTGATCGGGTAACCTCACAACACAATTTCCATCTTCCAGGCGCCGAAGAAGACGATGTCGTCAAACGTTAGCCGCCGATTCCTATTGCCAACCCCGTTTCGAGTTCGAGCTGAACAAATCTGCAAAACCTCCAGTTGGTGGAGGTTCTGCTTTACGGTATGATCCAGTGCTGTATGCTGACGAACTGTCCGTACCTCTTATAAATGAGCGAGTAGCACCACTGCGACTTGCCTCACGTGCCCACATTAGCCAGCTAGCTCAAGGGACTTTAAGAAAAATGGCTCAAGGCAACATTGCTTTAAGCGCTGCTTTACGGTAAGATAGTATGGTTGAAGATGCCAGATCTGGCTACTCTTTGCGACCAGTAAGGTTATGGTGCTGGACGAAAGAGAGGGGCTAATGCAACGATACAAAGAGCTCATGAGGTACCTGCGACTCAAGGAACATTTTTGAAAACTGTCAAACAAAGGTATGCTGAAGGCAGTGGGCACGACAATTTGGTTATCAGCATTAAACGGCTGCAGGGGCACTCTGTAGTACGACAGTATTCACATGATATTTACGTAATATACAATGTGACAGTTACGGGGCGATACAGCCTAGAACGCCCAAAATAAGGCCCTCATTAACCGCTCGAAACAGGAAGCGAGTGATTAGTCGTCGCTGGTCAAATATCAATGTAAAAAAATCACGGCGATTCCACAGGAAGTATGGAAACACATTATTTCAAGAGATAAAAAACCTCACACAATATCAAGCGGGAATCTTTAAAAGAAGCAAGGACATACTAGTGACACGTTTATGAAGCGGTTGCCTGAGACGCGGGAATCACGTGGAAACAGCCAAAAATGTAAAACAAGTCTTAAACTAAAAACGGGCACTGCTCGCAAGAAAACTTTCCATTCTGCTTGAAAAAGATTTGTTTTCGATAGCAGTAGTACTTACTTCTTCTGGAAAAAACTCTGAAGATGCGAAAGAATCGCTATTCAGCCTCCTCTCGTGGGTAAAAACAGCTGATCCGATGGTGATCAATTGCTGGTCTGTGCGGCCTGCTGGGCGTGTCGTTGTTGGAAGGGGTTGGAATTGGTGTGTTAACCCTTGCTAGGATGCTTAGAGATCGTTCTTCTTTGAAAAAGACGCCATGAAAGGCATTGTCAGAGGCGGGGAATTCTTCGGTGATTGGCGTGTTCATATTACATGTATACGGGATTTATCGTACCTTTCCTTTGAGTCTTCAAAATGGCATGACCTCATTGGGCAACCTCGTAATTCGCTACAGATCTCAATGCAACTCCGCTTATGAAGTTATGATCACAGAAATATGAAAGGGCAAGCAATGAAAGGGAAAAGAGCATCGTTGTGCGAAACCCACCAGGGGTCGTACTTAATCGCTGGCCGAGGTAGGATCATTACGGCGGTAGTGAGCCAGTACTGAAGAGCAAGCAAACGAAAGATAGTGGCGCTATATACCTTTGTGAAGCACTGGGTTACATCGTCTTGCACGAGCAACCCTTATCTGAACGTTACATATTTCGGCTACCTCAGCATGGCGTTCACACAGAAGAGATTAATAGATGATAACCAGACTACACTCTAAAATGCGCTCTGAAGGCATATTATTGTTTCCAAAAGAGTTCTGGCGCAAAAGGAATCGAGCTTCCTACAAGCTCGAGTTGTCATACCAGGCAGCTCTTAGGCCAAAGTTCAGACGTTCCAAAATCGTGCGGGCTTAGTTTGGGCAAAAGAAGGTTGTATTGAACAGACAAGCTTTCAGATGCCATCGTGTCTATGAGCAAATGTCAATCTCATGACGCATTTCAAATCGGACTTATAACCTACAATGATCTTTTCACGCTTTTCTTCATATTCATTGCGGAAGAGATTAACTTTGCTTTCACCGCAATGA